TCAACTTACCTGTGTTATAAGATGTGTTGTAAATTGTTTGTCACGTAACCTTTACGCACCGTACGCCAACTTCTATGTCATGAGGACGAAGTTAATCGATTAGATATGGATTAAGTAGATTTTGTGATTCTCACGGTGGCGAGTATAAATATGGTTAGATTATGTTATGCTATGCTACGGTGGTCTAGCGGTTAGAACGCTGGCCTTGTAATCCTAGGGTCTCGGGTTCGATTCCCGGCGGTGCCCGAATTTATAACTTGTGTTGAGCAAGGCCGTGGTCTAGGCAACACGGAGTTTTCCTCCGTGGCATCCCAACAATTACTCCATTCACACACAGAAGAAGGCAATGGCAAACCACTTCTGGATAATCTGCCAAGAACGTATATGAACAGATCCCAGTCCGAGAAAAGGATGGAAGAATCCTGTTCATATGGACCTGTCGTCACACAGAACACTAAATAATAATAAAGGCAATGGCAAAGCACTTCTGGATCATCTGCCAAGAACGTATATGAACAGGTCCCAGTCCGAGAAAAGGATGGAAGGATCCTGTTCATATGGACCTGTCGTCAGACAGAACACTAAATAAATAAATAACAAATAATACTGAAGCTGCTGCCCTCTGTTTTTATCTTGATCATTTGTGTCGACCTAATTTTTTCTTCTATTAAATTGCGTGTTCTTGTTTCATCGTTTTTCATTTGGATGCGTTTTCCTTCATGTATGCGCCTTGTAGGGCTGTCCACACCGTTTGTAATTCGTCATTTATAATCACTGTACCGGTGGATGCAATATAACTTAAAGCATTTTAAAGGCTTCGGTAAATAACCGGTCTTTTTCATCCAACGTGGGGCGCATCCTTGTGGCAAAATTTGACACTTAAAATGTTAATATATAAGATTAGAGATTATTCGATGACAAGCTACTTGAATATTTCTCGTTTATTTATAACTTATTATGGAGACAGAAAAGAAATTGACATGCGAGAAGGTAGTTTCTGCATTATAAAATATTTATATGTCCTGCAGTCGGGGTTTCTGCACTAATGTTCACACTTTTCGTTAATTTATAGAGGACAAAAATTGAGACAGTTCAGTTACAGAGCTTTACCATTTGTTGTTAAAAATCATTTCGGTGTAAATCATGAACCACGGTTAATTTTTTTTTTTCTGTGTAAATAATGAACCACGGTTAATTTTTTTTTGTACAGAAAAATAATATTTACTTGAAGTCGAACCCAGGACATATTCGAGGTCGTGGCTTTGTTCCTGTAATGTGTCATCTGCTTCTGTCGTAGGCCCATGTACTCATGTCAGTTCTCCGCTGTCGAGTTAGGTAGGAATCGATTGACGGTGGTATTATTTATGGTCGAGAGGGTACAGTTCCAGCTCGATATTAGTTGAGGGATTTTGGGATTAATTTCGAAAGTGGATAATCCTAATCTGTCCACTCCCCCGGAAAACTGAAGGCGTAGTCCCTTGGCCAAGGATTTTACTGTCCTACTCTGTACGAATTCCCGTTTGAGAGATTACTTTATGACTGGCTATCTCGCTTACTTACTGACTGATAAGCTTATTATACAGGATGATCCAAATATATATATGAACTTATGTTCGAGGATCATTTGGAGCAGAATATGTAAATAAAGTTTTATTTTTAACTCCGTTTTCAACTTACGAAAATTTACTTTGATATCGATCTCAGTATTATGATTATCGATTTTTACAAAATGTATACAGTTCATTTTAACACAGTATGTCAGTTGAGTTCCTTGTTTGCAATAAATGGGAGGAAGGAAAATTCTGCTCTTTGTATTATATTTCAGTATTCACTTCAAAGTACTTCAAAGTACACCTTTTTGAGTAATTTTATGTTCGCGTTGGGGACTCGTCAGGCTTATTACCAGTCCGAGTCTGATAACTGCGCTTCAACTGTTTATGTTCCCAAATTCCCTCAGCGCGAAGACCCCAAAAGGATCAGGTAACACAAAGGAACAAGAGGACAGATTTGATTTTCCTAAGAACCCCCATAAGAATTTTACCAGAGCTTAGAATCACCCTGTATAACTTACGTGTTTATTGTTAATTTGAGAGCTATTGGACATAAATTACATTTTTCCCCGATGGGACCCAAAGTTTCGTAACTATACGTACCTACGTCCTTCCAGCTACCACTAGTTTTTCCAAGTGTTTATTTTCTCGTCAGGTTTACCAACATAAATGTTACACACGTTATTTTCGACATGCACAATACATCCTTATTAACGTACTATATGACGTATGTAACAGGTTATAAATTCATACAGAATTATAGAATTTTAATAGAAGGACATGAATTTAAGTTACCATATGTGAAACCCGGTCGTAGATATGGGGATAATATTAAAATTGATCTTAAAGAATTAAGATATGTATGAGTGTGATCTGTGTTGTTTAGTTATTATCAACTGATGAGCTCAGATTATGAAAATTCTTACTTTGGATTTTTCCTTTCGTGACATAATTCTCCCATTTTCTTAATCCGTAATCTGTGTATAATTTCCGAGACGAGAATTAGATATTTGTACGTCCAGTTGCATAGTTTCCAGGATGTTTTGATTTAGCCGCAAAAATTAGAAAGCTAAATGAAATAATTCCACTTTGATATTCAACACAGGCTTTTTGGAATAAAGCGACGGAAACTTGTAGCTTTATATTCTACGAAGAATTATATTAACCTTTACTCTAGCCGGCTTAACAATGGCATGGACTCTCCGGGGACCTTTTCGGTATAATAGAACATAGCAATGCATGGTTCAGGGCAAGAATGTAACACGTACTTTCTGCCCTGGCTGGTTAATTACAATTTTGTGAAATACTTCACAGGTGGCGTTTGTAAAGTATCTTAATGCTGTTGTGTGAAATTCAAATATCTAGTTCTGTTAACCCACTCCAAAAAAAAAAAAAAAAAAAAAAAGAGTCCTCGTTCAGAATCTGATAGTTTCTCAGCGTGTCAGAAATATCCCTTCTTTTACGGATCCAGAATTTTAACGCGATCAGCGTTAACGAATGATTATTCATGTGTCTTATTCAAATGCTCGTTCAGGTAAGCTAAGAAAATGAATTTTCTGTGAATTTTGTACAAGTATTAGAAATAAGCTCATAAAATGTATACGTTTATTCTCTTTTATAAGGAGATCGATAAAATTTTCTAGCCTAAATAATAACTTAAATTCTTAGATATTTCTCGTAAAAGGTGTACAATATTTAATTATAATCACATCCGTTCTGCAATTGATCACTGCGTCTGATTGAACGTGATCACGCTGTACGTCACATCAGCTGCACATAAACTCACATCTACCTTGGTTAATACAGTTTATGAAAATAAAATATATTTAAACATGGCTGCCTTTTGGGATGTTGCATCGTTTAGGTTAGGTACTGACCGACGTTTCAGAGGCGACTACAGGATGCTAACCGGGATGACAGCCATTTTCATATTTGAAGCCGTGATAATAATTTTTTTATGAGAATGATACGAACTATGTGGTTAAATTACTGAATATTAAGGCAGCTTGTACCATTTACATCTCGAAACATCTGTTACTGACACATGACATTAGAGATATAATTGACAAGTTGGTTTCATAGGATTAGTATAGGAAACTGAACGTTCAGTGCGTTGTTTATCTGAGCTAATCACATGTTGACACATGTGATTAAATACTAAACGTGGGAGAACATTAATATCCTAACAGGATTTCCAGCCAACAAATTAAAATTTATCGGACATTAGGATTCACAAATTTGTTCAACGTGTATACACGTAGAACAAAAAATTTTTTACGAAAAAATTTACGTATTTAAGTGTTTATTTTATATATATTATATAATATAATTCAGATTTTCCTCTTTAATTTTCTCCGCATTTATCTCATCAGCATGAGATGCAAAAAAAAATGTGATCACAGAACTTGTCTTACGCCATTGTTGCACGTTGCAATACCGATGGCAACAATTAAATTTTTGTGAGCTGATTCATTAATAGCTGCATATGCAGCGTCTGTGTTGACCTTTTCCGTAACACGCCGCCCCTGGAAAGAAGTACGCCCATGGGAACTCTGGAATATACGAACTCGGCTGACCTTTAAACCTTTAAAACACATTGGTAACTGTATGTACCACCTACTTTAATATCCACAACTCTTCATTTTGTATATGTATAGATCTTGCATGATTCCAAGTGTGAAGAAAATTATTTTCTTAAACAGAATTAGCCACATGAACTTCTTAATGGTGAAGTTTTATTATGATTATTATTATTAAATAAATAAATTAATTGAATTAATTATTATTATTATTTATTTAGTATAATATTTTATTTTGTATGTTGTTTGTCCAAAATTGAACTGATTTTAATTTAATTTTTAATTTACTTATCCATAACATTTAGCTCATTTACTTATTAATTATTTTGCAATAAATTAATATTGTACTTTATATATTCAGTTCATTGTTTGTTTGCTTTAGTATTGTAAATTTCTGTATTGTTGTTAGTGCTTGGCTGTTATTGGCCTTTTCGGCTGTTGTCAAGCACTTTAATAAATGAATTGAATTGAATTGAATCGTATCTATTCACCATTTTTGAAGTGTATTTACTTCTGTGTACCTGAGACAAAACTTGTCCCTGAGGTAGATCGCTCAGCAGCTATTTCTGAAATAAATTTTGTTTTGTATTATTATAATTATTATTTGAGGTACGGACTAGATTATTAAATCATCCACAGTTTAAAAAGATCTAATCGATTAAATGTGTTGTGGTAATTATATGAATATCCTACTTTAAAAGTCAGTAAATTTGTATTTTGTATTTATGGGTTTCGTAATATTATCAGAATAAACAGCGTTAACCAATTGATATTTGTAATGGATACGCGTTATGCATTATTTGTGGTAATAAGTGATTTTTTTATTTAAACGAGCTTTGGCTTCAGAGAATTAAATGTTTCTGTGTTTCAGCGGAACTGGACATCCTGAGGCTGTTGAACGTGACAGGGTCGACCCCTGGTGTGAGTGAAGTACTGGGTCCCTTGTCACGTGTCCCTGCCTACAAGTTCCGGCCAGGATACAATAACGTGCTTGTACCAGGCCCTGGGGCTATTGCAGCGACCCTGACGGCCCCTGAGGGATTCACACTTCTCTTTGTGTATAGGCAACACCGCAAGACTCTCGGTGAGGACTTCGTGGAACATGTGAATGTCCTGTATGCATTGTAATTCTATAGAGATGAAACTTCAGTATAAGAAGCGTATACCGCTGATTTAACCGCTAGGAATAGTAAGTGTTCTTCCAGGGCGAAAAGTAAGGTCAAGCGGCCGGAACGTGAAACTACCCATGTAAGTCTGGATATTGCTTAGGTTAAAAATGCATGGAACTATATGTGGGGTTTTAGTAAGCACCATTGACAACTTTATATGATGGTTTAATTTGTTTAATTTATGAGATGGTAAAGTTGCGTCATATTGTGATATAATAAATATATATTGTTTAAGTCTTGTCCGTCTAATCACAATAAATTCTTATTAAATATTAAAATATTACAATAATTAACATTTAAAATATTTAAAATATTAAATGATGTTTTTTATCGAAATATTCGATTTACATTACACCAATGATGGTCTAATGTAAATCGAATATTTCGATAAAGAACATCATTTAATATTTTAAATGTTAATTATTGTAATATTTTAATATTTAATAAGAATTTATTGTGATTAGACGGACAATATTTAAACAATATATATTGTTTAATTTGTTGAAACATTTATTTAAACGAACTTTAAATTATACGATAATTGTTAATTGAAAAATATAATAAATATTGATGTTTAAGTGGTTATTCGGTTGAGGTCCGCTAGTTGTAGTGTTGTCAATTTCAGGAACACTACTGTCAATACACTCGCCAGGCCGGGTGACACCTTGGTTCCAAGCTACATCTAACCTCCGTACGGGTCACTTGGTTTTACACTACAGGGTCACGTCGGATTCGAAGCTGCATCAGAATTCGTGGGCCTTGCAACAGCAGCACGTCCCTTCGCAGCCGCTGGCCCGAGGCGTTAGCGTGCCTGCAGCCGAGACCAAGAAAGGTAAACATTCGGTGAAACGAAACCATAACACACTGTATAAGGACCGAGCGTGTATCGGCAGATATTTTAAGTAAATTTCCCTCCAGAGTAGGAAAATGTCTTCAGAGTTTTTTTATGCCGTGTAGTCTGGTAAACGTATGGTATTTTTTTTGTGAAGCGAAAAACTAACACCTGAAATCTGAAATAATATTTTACATGTTTGTAAAGTAAATTTTCGTACATTTTCCTGACACGGAAATGACATTTAGGGCACTAATGTATTGAATTTATTATTTATTTTCAAGAACAAATATGGAAGGTTTATCTTTTCTTATGTTTCTGATACAGATGTGCTTAAGATTATATATTTTCGTCTCCAGGAACGTGTCACACTGCTGTAATATAAAATATTCCATGTTTTCCTTGTAGTGTTGCAATATTGATTACTCTGTCATAACCGTGTTCACAGGAAATGGATGGACACATCTTGCTGTCGTGTATAATGCCACTTCCAGCACTTTGACTCTTTATATGGATTGTCAGAAACCAAAATCGCAACCAGTCGCGGGAAATACAGGGGCACGGACCCCAGGTTTCCACATACCACACGATTCACTTGTTTATTTCAGACAAGAACCAGGATTCAAAAAGAAATTCCTGGTACGTCTACATTGTAATAAAATTAATAATATTAAATGTCAGCCCTGCAGAAAATGAAATTACTCTATTTTTAAGAACGTAAGTCTAGTAAAAATCTTTCCACAGGGATCCATGCAGATGGCAAAGATCAAGTCGTATCCAGTCTCCAGAAAGGACTTTGGTTGGTCCTGCAACCCAGTTCCTTAGCAGCAGAAACATTTATTCCAGAAGGCGTAGGGCAGCTTCAGCCCTAATCATCATTTCGAACGTGTTTCATGATTTTATGCAGTGAACTCTTTTTCTTTTGGATCTGTTTTATTTCTAGCCAGTAGATCTGATTAGGTAATTGCCTGTTCTAAATCAATATATTAATTTAATAAACTGAACTGGGATCGTGTAAAAATCATACAGTACAAACAGAAGGTTCCAGAACTTTGAATGGCACGTACTGACGTAATGAATTGTCAGTTCACTCAGATTTTCAGTTAAATTCATCTTTATTATCAGGATATTAGTTTAAATAAAAAAATATTACAATATAATTTATTGAACTCTTTATACTATTTATTTATATGTATATCCCATCTTACCAAATCCATTTTCTATAAAACAATATTCCAGTTATTTCACGTCACATTTGAGGGTATTTTTTTTTATTTTGTTTTACTTGTCTTGTGAATATGATTATTTGTGAATTTATAAAAATATGACTGAGACATGGAGGAAATTATCGATGTATATTTAGTTAGGATGACTGAATCCAGATTCCTGCCAAATGCAGACTCTGTAATAGGCGCCAACATAACCTCATTTGCATTTCTACTTACCAGAGTTGCCACCATTAAAAATTAATTTCAGTTTGTTCTGCATTGTACCAGTGGCACACTCCAGCAGTAAAGTGTGATGGACATTGGCTATTATATTAGGAGTTGATCGTAAGGTAAAACACGGGTAAGTTAGCTGGAATACTATCAGCTTCTCAAAGACCCAGGTCTGTTGGTTAGACAGTCACCAAACACAAAAATATTTGCGTATTACAATGAATATTTCACTACATGCTTTTGTTAATGGGATATAATTTCCCTTTACTTGCTTTCCGTACGTTCCAATGTTAATAGTGCATTTTCTACGCCACAGTTGGCACTCCCATGACATTGAAATAGTACAGGCGAGGGGAGTGAGGGGTCGTGATAGACTGACAGACGAGCATCAGGTGATGTTGGCTAGGCAGGGTTCGTTTTGTTTAGTGCGTCTCACTTTCATTCTGCTGTCACGAGAATTAAGTGGGGTGGATATGGGAAGTGTCTGTTTCTGTGTTTGTTGAAACGTTGTTTATTCTGTAGTGAAGTGTCTTGAAGCAGTGGAAGAAGTTCGAAGATCCCAAAGTTACGTAGGTCACTGTTGGTTACGCCCTAAGGCAAGGTCACGATATATTATTTAGATAAGTGATCTGCAGATCCGTATACTTATTTAGGTCATGTTATTTACTGATTTCGTATTACGTAATTTGCCTTTCCGTCCCAATTAACCCTTTGAAGCCGAAGATCGTCTGAATATTATTTATGAATTCAGTCCGTACCGCGAAGAAAACACTACACCTCACCATTACGAAAATCAGCTGGTTAACCCTTTGAAGCCGAAGCTCGTCTTCATAATATTTACGAATCCAGACCGTACCGCGAAGAAAACACTTCACTTAACCATTAGAAGTCGAATCAGGCGGTACCACATAAGATTTAACAAAAGAACATCCCGGTCAAAGCCTTAATAACACTTTGTACGTTATGTGTATACATGCAATGTGTACATGATATTTTTTTCATCTCAGAGAAAACAGGTACACACACAAAGTTGCAGTTTTATTCTGATAGAGTGAGGAAACATTTGCCTGGCAGTATCTCTTTTTTTTTTGTAGTCATTTAGGTTATGTATAATTAATAATAACCACGAAAATGTTCATCTTGTAGATACGTTGTTAGGGTGCCATATTTATTGTGGTCCGTAATGACCACGAATTGTATTGCAGCTTAAAGAAAGTGACCTTCCTTAGCAATTATTAAACAATACGAAAAAATAAAATTATTTATTCATTATAACAGGTCCTATGAATACATATTCCAATTAATCACGTTTGTACTATTCGCTAAAGTGGCGTCGCGTAGTGACCGTCTTACGAATTGTAAAGCAACGAATTTGGCGTACATAAATCGCTTTTGCAATACCTGATGTTCGCCTAGCAACAAGACCTGAAAACGAGAGAGGCATGTAGTTAGAAACGGAAAACAAAGTGAAAACCCGAAAAATATTGAGTTATTCGGATGTTACAATGCTGAGTAGTATAGGCTTTTCTGACATGCACGCCATATAAAAGTAATTTCAGATTTTGTTATATAAAGTATTGATATTATCAAACTAAATATCAGAGGTAATTTGACGTAATCTTCAAACTTTAGGAACTACTAAATTTCACTACGTGTTATACCTTGGCTCACAGATTTTACTTTTCGAATGTTGGCTGCGTCCACGAAGTCACGTACGCGAGTATGGACTCTGGACGGCGGATTTCACGAGGAGTGAGGGTGAAAGTGTTATTATCTCCAATGGTTGTTTGTAACTGTGCGGTTTAAATACTTTCATACAATCTTCTTCGCGGACTGTAGCTTCATATATAATCCATACGGACCAATAATTGTGTGACCATAAATATAGCGTGAGCCTAACGTATAAATGTTGAAGTGAAAATTAATCAGACATTTTTGACTGGCGTGTGAAACTCCATCTTGCAACTGGTTTCCATTGTAGGTGAATAAGTTTATGTGCTTCAAAGAAAAAAAGACTGTCGTGGAGTTGCATAACTTCTTAGAAACATCTAGATTTGGGTAAGTAATATATTTCTGTCTCTTTATTGCATTACATGATAACACAGTGACTTATATTAGAAACAACTTTTACGTACCGACATGACGTCATCCATCGCCAAATGTCTCGCATTATTTATGGTTTAAGGTCTCGATACTAACATTAAATTCAACCAAACATAAGCCACCATTACTAAATTACTACTAAACTACTAGATTTGGTGTTAATTGAAATGCTTACAATAGAGTCCAACACGAAATAACTTTGATTCAAAATTTGTACTGTAATTGAGTTACAAAGAGCTTAGCTATATCGAAGTATTGTCAGAATAAAAACGGCATAAGTAACTAGTGACAGTGTGTTTCATGAGATATGTGTTTGTTTCTTTGGTGAGGTAGGATAATTGTTTTGCAAAATGTATAGCACGAACGAGATTAAATGCTAAGATACATCATCTTATGCAGTAACATAATTATATTTTGTCTTATAACTTGATATCTATTATCTCCTGCAATTTGTTGGAAATAAATGTTATATAATTAGTAAGTTGTGGGCGTATAACATAGTGAGGTATGAAATAAAAGTCATTACGTTTAACTGGTAGATACTTTGTATCCATTTAGCCCAATACAAAGTATAAAGTCGTGCAACCTTGACGTATTTTAAACGAAAATGTAATCCGAAGTTGAGTGCCTATACGCTAACAAGAGAAAGCCTGACATTACTTTCATTTACTAAATGGAAAAGTTGATGAAAGCTATGTTAATCACTTCTTCCACTCTGCAAACTACCCCTACCCCTACCCGCCCCCAAATCTACCCCCATTACCTGCTGCTGCTTAATTACTGCGCCTGTAATGGCGGTGTGGGGACAGAACATGCATTTTCGAGACATCTAACATCGCTTTGGATGGATGTATACACACGTTTACAGTCATGTAATTGGTGTTATTGTAGTTAGTGTTTATCTTTAGGATACTTTGTACATAATACTGTTGTCAACTTGCGTATTAGTGACGTTTAACATTGTATCAGGATTACAAACCACACAACACACAAATTGTTTAATCACGTATTAAAACGAAATCAGAGTACACGTTCGTGAATGTTTCCACAAACTGTGTTACCGTGAAACTATCTGGTGATACGAGGAATTCTAAAGAATTATTTCCTTCTCGTTTTCTTCTGGGTGTCATTAATAAAATCTGCACTGATCAAAATTCGAATAAATGTAGGATTTGAAGTTTTCGAGGCCGTGATGGCTGTTTTCTGGGTTGAAGGGCCGTGTAGACTTATTGGTGTTTACCGACGTTTAAGAGGTCCTTATTGCGTCCATCATCAGGGCGTTAAATTATTCATCACGTATACTATTCTACAAGGGGCTACAACTCAGAAGTCATCCATCAACAAATACAATATCCTTCTATCTCTGAACGATCCGTCAACATTGTAGTATCAGAGTTGGTAATTAGCTCCATGTCAGTCGAATCACTACCCTTACCCCAACCAAAGTACATGGCTGTGTGATACATGGGACCCCGTGGTCAGGAGTTTGCCCTGTGGGCATTGCTACGTCAAACTAAATGAGATTTACGAGAGAATATAAATCTTTTGAATCCAATTAGCCATGATTTTAAGTCAACATGGTCATCTATCATTTGACACAATGGAATGTGTTGCGAAATTTGCTGATTCGATAAAGTGACTGAAATACTGTGGTGTTGATCCCAGTTTAACAGGATTGTGGTCATTGACCTCGTTGCATTGAAAATCATGTTTGGTCAATCAAGTAATTCGTAGTTGGAACTAAACAATTTTTGGTAGAGTATTTTACTTTTTTTAACGTTCCTATAATTTGTTTAAATTACTTAAATGTTATCTTTAATATAATTAATTTAAATTCCTTTTATATATTTTATCCTTCGATATCTGAGCATAACTCCTGGTACAGATCGTAAAAACTCGTAACATTTTCAGATGTTTTCGTATTATTTTCTGTTATTAAAATTTATGATAAATACTGAAAGAATATTGAGTTCCCGTAGGATATTTGTTAAAGAAGATATAATTATATAATTATTATTGAATTCTTTGAGAGTATTTTGTTGTTATGTGTGTTTGAATGTATCGATTTTTATCTAATTCTAAATCTTACTGGCCAACGCATTTGAGTTTAAATATTACGTAATAATAATAATATATCATATAATTTATTTTACACTTTTATAATTTATTAGTTGCTATGTAGTAAGTGCGTAGCGAGAATAAATTATGCCCGTCCGTCTGTCCAGTCGATTGAACTACCACTTGACGGATTTGGATGAAATTTGGTGTGAAGGTTGTGCCATTCTGTACGACATCGAAATTGTACTTAAGAATGTCCTACGAACGGTGATAACAAAATGGTACACCGATCTGTTGGCCAAAGTGTGAAATATAGTACAAGACGAATTTAAAACCTCAAAATGTACGTTTAAAAGAACGCGAGAGGATATTATATGTATTCGGTACGGAATTAACTTCCCGGGCGTGTTAATGTTACTGACGTACGAATACGTTTAGTAGTTTGCCACAGAAAGAAAGCTAAATAAGAAACATGAAAAGTGATCAAGTTTGACTTTAATGAGTGTGAATAGGTGATATAAAATAATAAGAATAAAAATTAAATGTTTGAAATGAGATTT